GTTTGAATCTCTGCGCAAAAATAGAAACCCACTGGGTGACTTTGGGCAAGTCACACTCACTGCCTCAGAGGAAGGCAAAGGCAGACTCCTCTGAAAAAAAAATTGCCAAGAAAACACCAAGATACAAGTTAGTATAGAGGAAAGAGAAATAAAGAAACAATGGGAAAGGGAAGCGAGGGATGACACGGGAGAGCAGAATTAGCAGGTTGGGAAGTATTCCTAGATTTGCCCTTTTCCTAGTGTAGAGGAACATTTTAGGACCTCCTGCATGTAAAACGTGAGCTGTTCCACCTTATTGCTGTGTTCTTGGGACTAGTGACCAGGTATTGTAGGAGAAGACAAATGTCTGATGATATTGTGGGTGCCTGCTGTCTCTGGTTTTGTCCCTAGCATGTTAAGTCCCCATCCCAGGCATAAAAAGGGGGATAGAGTCATATATCTCACCCATGCAGTTGGGTTGGATGTTCTTACTTTAGATTTGCTGCCTAGAGAATGGTATGATATTTTCTTTCATTCTCATATGTGCATTTTGTTATAAAACAGTAAATGACATGAACCAAAAGAGATCCAGAGTCTTGTTGTAGAGATTCTTGGGGTTTAGCAAGTGCAAAACCATTAGCAGTTGTGGCACATTGGAGCTAACAGAGTGGGATGCTGTGGTACTGATGTATGTGTTGTATGTGGTAAGACTGATGTGTAGAAACAAATCCCCACAATAGGTTAATTGGCTGGCTCTGTACATGGGCAGTATGTGTGTGCCATCATTGGCAGAATCTCAGAGGACACTGACGGAGTTTCTAGGCATGATGTTTGTTTGTTTTCTTATTTTACAATTTATGTTTTTCCTTACCCAAACAAACTAAACAATGTAGTGAATAAGTCTGCTACTCTGCTAGTGCAGCAGCACTGGATCTTCAGACCTTGAAAACAATAAGTGTAGAGTTAGTTTGCTTGTTTTCCCTAGTAAATATATTATACTCCAGTTACTGTTGGACTCCCCCTCCCAGTGAACCAACATCTCTGCTTCAGTTTTCTTTTTGCTGTGTGCTGAATTCTTGTATGTTGTGCAAGAATAAATGAAATCCAGTATGCGTTCTGCTCAAAACTTGTTTTGACACTGACTGAGAAAGTGGCACTCTGCTGCCCTGCTGGTGTTTTTGACTATGTCTGATTAGTAGCATTACATATGAATAGCTTTCTGAAGACGGGAAATGGGTTGAGTTTTCAGTTTGGATAGTGTTTACTCATTAGGAATAAAACAGATAGTCAGGTGCCTAGGTATTTGTCAGAACAATGTTCCAAGAAGAAATCTCAGCAAACAGTTGTTCCAGGTCTTTGCTACTAGTAGTATGGTTTCATAAGTCCATCTTAAATTGCTTATGTTTTCTCCTCCAATTTTCACAGTCTTTTCAGCAGAATCTAAACAGATAGGGTAATAACGTAGGCTTGTCTGATCCCCCTGCCTGTTAGAAACCATTCTGTTTCTCAATGCCTCAAATGTTCCATTCTTCTTCATTTCATTCTGCTGATTGGGTAGATTGGGACTAAAATATACTGTACTCTATTCTTTTGCTGTGTTGAGTAGTAGGTGCTGATCAAATCTGGCATTAAATGTTCAGTGCTGAAGAAGCAAACAGTAGCCTCACCTGGAGTGTTGAAAGGAGCTAAATGTATTTAAATAAAACCAGTTTTGGAATTACATCTTTTTTTGCATGTTACATGAAAACATTTTTGATGTTGAACTTTCCATAGCTTTAAGCTGAATATGAGAAAGAATTTATAATGAGGTGTATTTAAGTTCTTGTAAATAGCAATTCTTTTGGTTTTGCTTTGTAGAGTTAAATATTTTATGCTACTTAATACAAATAAAAATCCATGAAATGTTACGTGTCATACATGCATATTTCAAGTGAATTTTGTGTTTGATTTTTCAGTATTATAGTGGATTTGTTGACTGTATACTCATCCCTGTCAGTCTAATGTAGATATCTGTGTATGATCTTAAACCTACAATTATATGCTTTTGTCCTGCTTAGCATAGCCAGACATTAAACAGTAGGTGGTGCCTTGATGACATTTAGGCAGTAAAATTTAAGTGTCCTGAAAGTGGGCAGATATTTTGTTCTTCGGTGTGATATTGTATTTCAGCTGCCAAGGTTTTGGAGACACAGATTTGAAATTTTCTGCTCCATGTACTAAAATAACTTCCCTAGCATTGGGTGCAATGCATCTTTATGTGGGTGGAAAAGGAGTACCACTTGTTGCTCTACCAGAGGCAGCAAACCTCTTTGACTAGTTTATTCTTGTCTCTGTGTAGTTTGCTAAGCCATAGCTTTTTATTTCCTTTGTTAACCCATTGTATAAAATGTTCCTCATTCCTGGTTTATAAGTCCATGCCAGGAAGCAAACAACAGTGCAAATTCTTCCAAGGTACCAAAGTGACTTTAGGTTTATGTTTTTCCCCAAATCAGCCTATCCTCTCTTGTAAGGCTTCATATTAAACCACTTTTAAAACTGTAGAAAGCAAGAGAGAGAAAAAAGATCAAAAGAGAAGAAAAGAAAAGAAAAGGGTTTGCTCTTGGGAGGGGTGGGGGAAGAAAAATTACTTTTGAACATGTTTAGAACAACTGATACCTGCCATAATAACCTAATATTTTACATCGTGTACTGCGTAGTGAGAGTTAGACAAACTCCAAAGACTGACTGTGTGGGAGGTAAAACTTGTCTCTTTGATATTTTTTCTTAAACCTGCTTAGTTCTTAGCAAGCCACATTTTAAATGTTTTAAAACACTAGTTTCATATTACAGTGCTCTAGATTTCATAAAGTCTATTTAAGCATATTAGTGGATACATTTGCTCCCTGAAAGAAAGAAGTCTATTCAAATGGGAGATAAGGGCTTAACTCCCATAACAGGAAAAGTAGGTCAATAGGACACTAGGCTATCAGGCCAAGAAGACACAAGCAGGTTTTCTGAGTCATTTTGTGGTTGGTGCTCCTCCCTACCTCCACCCTCTAGGCAGATTCCTTTTCTTTGTATTTAGTTCCTACTTTTTAACATGTGTTTCAAAAATAAGTTTGGATAGTGAAAGTGCCGGGAGGCTATATTAAATTAAGGTTAAACATACCTTTTGTAATTGTCTCAGGATGGAACTGAAAATAAAAAATTCAGTGATTGGACAGAAATAATTCTGGGAATGCTTTGTTTTTAAAAGGTTCGTTATTAGTAGTGACAAAAAAGAACCGAACAAGGACAGTATTGCATTTTCCCCATCCTTATTACAAGACAGTAATATAATGGAAGGTAGCAGTACTTATTCTCCTGCCCCAAAGATTATGAATGGTCAGTGTACAGAGTTGTATAGCACTCTGATGACTTTTTTACTGTTAGACTGGATTGTGTTGTATTTTGGGGTTTGTTTGGTTGTGTTTTTTTTTTTTTGGAGTATGGTGCTTGGTATTTGGGACCCACCTACCTTTGTGACCGCATCTCCTACCACAAACCTGCACAATCTCTTCGATCCGCGGAAGAGGCCCTTCACTCGCCCCTTTATCTATCACAGACTCGTCTTATGGGCACAAAGGAGAGGGCCTTTTCCGCTGTGGCCCCCCGCTTTTGGAATTTGCTGCCTAAGGAGATCAGGCAAACCCCCACCCTAGCTGTTTTTAAGAAAGACCTAAAAACTTGGCTCTTCTGTTGTGCTTTTGGAGAATGACCATTCAACCCATCTGGTTGTCTTAGTCTACAGCTGCCCTCAGAATAAAGCATCTTCCCCCCACTCCCTAAAATGGCTAAATCCCATGGTTCCTCCCTGTTGGGCTCCTTTCCTACAAATGCACTTTTATCCCTATCTCACCCAGGGTTTTAACTTTTTTTAGCATTTTACCTCACACATTTGGCCCACCCTCCATGCCTGGTTTCGATATGCTGTTTTATATTGTTGATTTTGTTATTTTATATTTTGTTATGATGTATTTTGTTACTGTGTGTTTATTATGTTGTATTATTTTGGGCTTGGCCTCATGTTAGCCGCACTGAGTCCTCTTTGGGGAGATGGTAGCGGATTATAAATAAAGTGTATTATTATTATTATTATTATTATTATTATTATTATTATTATTATTGTGCTATGGAAACTGAAGTTGGCATAAAAATAATTTGGCAAATGTTGCATGAAGAAAAAAAATCAATATATTTGGAGATACTGCTAAAAAAAGAATGATGTAAATTTTAGAGACAAGAAAAGGAATGGAAATTATTAATATGTATAATGTCATCCAAACAATGGATGGATGCCAAGGGCTGTGAGACCAGAAACAAGCTTGCACAACAAATTTTTATCCTTCCCTCAAAAGCCTTCTAGATAGAAGCCCATTCCGAACTGCCATGTTCAGTATTTTAGGAAATAGTAGCAGGGTTAGGAGAATCAGTTAAGATCAGAAAGTAAAAACTTCGTTTAATATATTTACAATCAAATTACATTAATTATATTAAAACTGAAATGCAAACAGCCTCAAATAATATATAGTGCAGTTTCAAACCGCACTATATGGCAGTGAAAATGGGGCCTTTCTTTCTCTCACATTGTAATAATAAATTGAGTTACCCAGGGAGGCTAAGTATCATAGAATTTGGGACAGGCAAAAGGAAGTACTCCACAGGACACATAGTCAGTTGTGGAAATTGCTTTCACAGCTTGTGAATTTCCAGGAAATAAGACCAATGACTGCTGTATTGCTGTTATTGGAGACAGTTTGCATTTCAGTTTTGGTTGCTGGAAAACATCAGTAGGAGGTTTCATGTTCTACATAGGTGCTTTCCATGGATGCCTTGTCCCCAGTGGGAAAATGGTTTTGGACTAGAATTTTATCCAGCAGGTATTTTCTTACTTTCTTACATTCTTAAACATATTTCTTTGTTCCTAAAGAGGGGGATTATATTATGTAGAAACATTAATTAGATGCTAATAACATGAACATTTTTTCTTTTTCTGTTAAAAGAACCGAATTGGAGCTCCATGATCTTCTCATATGAATATAGTTTACAACACTCATATCCTACAGTTGGCTTCTTCAGGAATTGATCATTCTCAATCATCACCATTCATCATCCAGAAAAGTGTAAACGGTAATATGTCAAAAGATTACATTTAGATCATTAAGGTGCAGTATCAGCCACAAGATAAGCTACTGAAAAAATGTTGGCAAGGATTTAGAGAGCTTTGTTTAGCATGCTATGCTTTCCAGTAGGATTAAAAATATATCTGGCTACCATACAATACCATATCACAATCTGCTTTTTAAATTCTATTCAGTTTACATTTTTTTTCCATGTGGTTTAGTTGGGATGGGTATCCTGTTTTAAGAGATACGAGTTTGAGACTGAAATCTAGAATAATTTTCTTTGAAAATTTCCGTATTGATTTCTTTTGGGGCAGTATGACCAAAAGAACTGTGATTGAGAAATCACTTTTTTCCCCATTATCTCATAGGACAGAAATACAAATGTCTACCACAAGACTAAAGTGTGATGTGTTATGTTCTTTACCATAAGTACCCATAAAATGAGCTCCATTGCAGACAGGTAAGTTATGTGCTGTTAATGGTTTTACACATGCACTGTTATTCATGATTTAGAATGATTGCTTAATTTGCTACTTCTCTACTTGCCCATTTTTGTTTACTTACCATTTGTGGCACAATGTGAAATACTTTGCATCTTCACATTTTTGAGTATATTATACAGAGCAAGTGATAACAGTGCAACTTAGATCCATCTCAGTTCCAGGTTATCACACAACAAAATGTGAAATAGTCATCGAGTTGCATTTGTGAGTACTTCTGCAAGAAAGTGTACATATAGTATAATCAATGTACATAGTGCTGAACAGGCAAAACAGCAAAAACATCATTTGCAAAAGTGTCAGATTATAATACAATTCCATCATCAATATGGGATCAAATAAGGATAACATACCAAGAGAAAACAACAACCACCCAAAAACTGACCTATGCAAAAACACAACCAAAAGAAAACAGGAAGATGATGCCAGCCAGACCATCGAAATAATGGTTAGAGAGATGATAAAGACAGAGTTGGTGAACCCAAAATCATAAAGGGAATCCAAAGACATGTATGATCACTGTGTCAAAAAAGGTCAAGAAATGTAAGAAGCATATAAAAACCTATCAACATGGCAAGAAGATTATCTGTGATCTTAGTAAGGTTTTTTTTAGTAGAATGCAGTCTCTCTCTATATATATAGAAAAGAATCCAGTGCAGAATCAAGGCAGCAAGTTTTAATACTTTCAGATCAAAGGGCAATAAAGGGCAGACAAGAAGATAGTGGGAGTAACATTGGTTAAGAAACAAGGAGGAAAAGATCAAGAGAAGACATAGAAAGATTTCAAAGCCACAGTTCATCCAACAAAGCCGGAACAAAACCTAAAAGTTAGAAGAGAAAAGAAATGATTGAAAAGTTGATAATGAAAGAGGATCAGATAAAATAGTTTCAATTTGAGTATTAAAAAGGAAACAAAGTAATCAGCGGGGGGGGGGGGGGTTGAATTAGTGATGTAAAATACTTTTGTGCTGTGAAAGAAATACTGTTGTTTACAGAAGCGGGAATACATTTGGTTTCAACTTAATCTACCTACTCCTTCTTCTTCAGAGGTGTTCAGTTGTTTGAGCTCATGGATGAAGACAAGGCTTGGTTTGAGAACTCAGAACAAAACATATTAACAAAGGCAAAATTATCAAGAACCGAAGCAGAATTAAATGAAGAAATAGAAAAATCCAAACAACCTACATAAGTCAGGGAAAAGAGGGAAATAAGGCAATATTTGTGAAAGAACCTCACTGTTATTGCTTAAAGAATGAACAATAGAATTCCGGGGAGCCAAACTATGAGCAAGTACAAAAGAAACAAGATGAGGGTCAGAGAAAGGAAATTCAGTAGACAGAAAGCCAGAAACAGAATAAATAAAAGAAGAATAGTGCAATGAACATGGGAATGTGTAGCTGAATCAGACTAAAGGCCATGATATAAAGAAGATAAAGAGAAAACCTAATTCCGTAGAGTCCAGGGGATTATCCACATGAATGTTAAAAATGCCCATGTCAAAGTTAAATAGGAGAAAGGAAGGCAGTCAGGTAACTGTGAATTAAAGTCCAAGGTAAATGTTAAAAGTGAATTTCATGGGTGCAGCCTTGAAAGAAATGTCTCACTGCATTGATCAGACAATATTTTATGTATCTGGGTTCTGAGCTGTTTAAGGCTCTATTCGGTAAAGCTTGGCACCTTGAATTAGGTCTTTGGCACCAACGTCAAGTTTTCAGAATTGGTGTTACTATGTTTGTTCTTTGCTGCTCCTCTAACCACTTGGTCTATGACAAACATATTTAGAAGGAGGATGGAATTGCAAGGATTCATTGAAAGTATTTGACCACCACCCCCCTATCTTTGGGTGAAATAGAAAAAGTAACGGCCATTTGAAACAGACTTTGTCCGTTATAAACAATTTAAGATAGTTTCTTCTTCTACTTTTTTGTAACTGGAAGTCTGTTCTGATAGGCTTCCCTAATGTGTTGCATTGGGGAACTTATGTATCATGTGACTGCTTTCTGATCCTTGGTTTGGGTTTTGTAGGGATGATGGTAGCATTTTTGATGGTCTCGTGGAAGAAGATGACAAGGACAAAGCAAAGAGGTTTGTAATCGTTTGTTATGTGAGAGATCTAGCACTAAACATTTTATTGTGAGCAGGAAATATATGGGGTGCATTTCTTTTTGATGCAGTGTATTGTAGATGGTGTTTAGGCGGGAGGCATGTACAGCAATAAGAAGTCTGTGCAAAGTACTCTTGCCCTTTTACATACATTGCCAAACAGTTGGTCAACAAACGGCTATAACAATGCTAATAACCTAGATTGGGAGTGGGAAGAAAGGAAAGGAGGCTGAATATAAGACATTTATCCCCCTCTTACCCTCTCAACTGTAGACAAAGTTGACACTCTGCCATCACATCAAAAGAGGAGATAGTTGCAAGTAGTCTGCAGTTGTGTTCTAAGTTATTGGGTTGGCAACTGTGGGTTTTGTGTGTGTTTGACTTGCTGATAACATTAAAAGACTGCAAATGAAAGATTAACATGAGTATATATTGTAAAAGCATATGTTATCCCTTTAGAACGCCTTGTTTCAGGCTCTGCTGCCAGCAGATACCTACTGTACTTTTCATGAGAATCCTTGAATGCATATGGCACAGAATTGCTGTGCTGCAGTCTTCTGCATTTGTATAGAATCGCTATCCATTTCTGTTAGTTTCATTCATAAGGCCCTGTTTTAGTTTTCGTGCGCCTCTCCTGAAAATGGGCGCCTTTCCAAATGAGCTTTTTTGTGCTGGGTCCAAAAGAAAAAAATCAGGCCATTGGCCAACATGGGTGGCCTTCCGAGGCACTCCTTTCTCTCAATTTTAGGGCTAGAGGGGTGAAAATCACCACACATGGAGGACACATCTACCACTCTTAGCCCACCAAGTTTTATAACTTTTGGTCATCCCCTGATTTTAGGGATTTTTTTCTTTCTATAATTAAAATCTCTTTAAAACATTTCCTCCCTCTCCCCCCTCTAACTTCTCCAGGAGCAGCAGCGGGGGGGGGGGGGGGGGGGGGGGGGGGGGGCAGGGCAGGGAGAACACCATCTCTTCCTTCCAAATGATGCTCCACACACACCCCAGTGCCCAGCCCCACTCACTTCTTCTTTAACTGTCAGCAGTGGGGTGAATTCCCCTCCCTTTTTCATCATTTTTGGCAATGGCATGGTTTGTCTTGGAGAGCTGCCACCTTGAGTCCTTGCTTGCTCCTGCTGTGCTAGGCACCCTCCTCCGTCTCTCATGCAAGGAAGGCACCTCTAGCCCCTCTCCTCTTTCTCCTTTATGCCTATTACCCTCTCCTCCTCCCTTCTTCTTGGTTCTTGGAGCTGCCACCGGTGCCTTGGGTCGTTGCTGCTGCTGCTGCCTGGCCACCTCTAGAGTAAGAGGCACGAAGGAGGAAGAGGAGGGGGCTGGAGGCACCTTACTTGCTTGAGAGGTGGAGGCAGCAGCAGCAGCAACCAATGACCCAAGATGGCACCTGGGCAGCTCCAAGAGCTGAGGAGGAGGAGCCACGCACAAACCACTTTCAGATAAGGAAGAGTGATGACCTCCTGGAAGAGAAGAGTAAATGAGGGTTTACTTTTTGTTTGCTGGGGGATTCATAAAAAAGATTAAACTGTGCTCATGAAAAGCAGGTACACAAATGGTTACCATTCAAGCTTTCCTTTTGTTGCGTGGTTGTTTTCATACGCCATCCGATTGAATGAAATAGTATGAAAACATGGATTAAATAGCAGAAACAGTTACGGTGTACATGACTACTATGTTGTTCACGGTGCTCCTTTTCACCAATAGAATAGCACTTGTGCCACACTCAGCAACCTTTTAGGTGGCATTTGGCAGTCCTTAAAATTATTCAGGACTAACTTAAATCCTTGTGACTCAATGGGATATATGACTAACTTAGTGAGGAGCCAGTCCGTTAGCACAGAATTTGTATAAAATCTTTTTTTCTTATAATTGTCACAATTGTTGTTTTTTAGAGTATCAAGAAACAAATCTGAAAAGAAACGCAGAGATCAGTTTAATGTACTCATTAAAGAGCTGGGATCCATGCTTCCGGGCAATGCTCGGAAGATGGACAAGTCTACTGTACTGCAAAAGAGCATTGACTTTTTACGAAAGCACAAAGGTAACTTTGAGATTTGATGTTAAACTTATAGAATCTACGTTGTTTTATATGCACTGAATTTTTTGATAATTATATGTTGCTGATAACATTAATGTGTTGCATTTTGCTTATAATTCATTGACTATTTCAGTCATCCTGTCAACTAAGTTTTTGTAAGTTAAGTTTCTAAACAAGTAACTAATATAGAAAAATAATCCTTAAGAGAAAAAAAAACAGTGTTTCAGAAATGGAAAATAAACACGCCTCTCTCTCAAATGTATTGTGCCTTTGGAGATAACCAGTCATATTTTAGCAAACAAGGGGTTGCTTCTGAAATAATTTTTTTTGTGTGTACGCCTCTTTAGCTATCAGGAAAGATAGTTGAATGAAGAACTGCCATTTCTAGGCTGACTGAAGGAGCAATCCACAATAAATCTCTGTTCACTTTTAGTGTTAGATCAGAAACCTAGATGATGATTTTGAATATTATGTGTTAGATGTTTTGGTCTAACTTCTGATTTCAGCATTGAATAGCTAAAGGAGCAAAAGGCCTTTGTAGTAAAAAATTTAGGATTTCTAAGGCCTTCCACATAATTTTTGCAGATTTGATTATTCACGGGTTTGTACTACTGTTTAACTAGCTCCACCACCTCACCCAATATTTTTGTCACTCCAGATCTTCCACTGCTGTCTTTTCAACAGTGCCCATATCTCACTCCCTTCCCCAACTTGCTATCTAAGCATCGTCAACATTTTAGACAGCCCCCCATTGCCTCCGCTGGCATTTAAAGACCTACTCTTATGGTGGGATAATAGGCAATGGAGTCCGGGGGTGTACTGAAGGAAGGTGGAAAGAGGAGAAAGGTTGTGTAGGGAAGAAGCGGATGGGCAGAGAAGGCTTCTAAATTCGGGCTGATATATCATGGTGGAGGGGTGGGGGTGGGAGAAAGGTATTATGCCATCAAGGGAGAAAGAAACCTCCCTTGATAGCATAATATTCAAAATCATCATTCTTTCATTAGTAAAATAAATAAATAATTCTTTTCCCATCCTTTTTTGTATTTTGTCTCTGTGTTTTTTCTCAGAATGCAAATGCTGAATGTTGCTATGAGTACTGCATATGTTCATCCCGCTCCCTCTTTCCTTCTTTTAATAGTAACATCTTTCATTACTGGAATGGTACACAAAACAGTTTAGTTGGAATGGAGGGAAGGACCAGTGACTTTATTTTTCTCTAGGGGAGCTTTTATTCCTTGTGCTATTAATTAGCTTTCAAATATAGATGTGTATATTAGAATAAATATATGTGCAGATAACTTGTTTTCTTTACAGAAATCACTGCCCAGTCAGATGCTAGTGAAATCCGACAAGATTGGAAACCCACATTCCTTAGTAATGAAGAGTTCACCCAGTTAATGTTAGAGGTATCTTCTTTCTTTTTATTTTAAAAGCATGGATATTGTCTTCTCATTACTATTGTTTTGTGTTATAAGATTAGAATAGGGTATATTTTCAGATTTATTTTAACCAGAATATAGTTATATTGGTAGGTATTTTGTGTGTCAGGAGCGACTTGAAAAATCTCAAGTTGCTTCTGGAGTGAGAGAATTGGCCGTATGCAAGGATGTTGCCCAGGGGATGCCCAGATGTTTTACCATCCTGTAGGAGGCTTCTCTCATGTCCCCACATGAGAAGCTGGAGCTGACAGACGGGAGTTCACCCTGCTCCCCGGATCCAAAAGGTCAACAGTCCTGTCGGCACAAGGGTTTAACCCATTGCGCCACCAGGGGCTCCATATTGATAATTAAAACATCTATAAAGAAAGATGTTACATCTTGTGAATGCTGCAGGCAGTTTGAAGTGGGTGTGTATTTGATTCGAATAACCAGATAGCCATATTTGTATACTTTTTGAACCTACTTAAAAAAAACCAGCAGTACATTTGTAAGCGATAAATCATCATTTTTTCAAGGCTTGTTAAACAGACTGATTTTTACTAAGTACAGTTGAAGCATTTTCTTCTGAGTCCACTTTAAACACTGTATGTTGTTGCTAACAGATTCATGTAATATCTAAAACAGATGAGAAACTTTTCGTTGTTGCCAATTTTTTCATGACCACAACACTGAGCTAAGAGAACCCCATTTGGAGTTGGGACTCTCAGTTTAAGAAACAGTGGAATAGAGCATTCTCTACAGTTGTCACAGCCACAAAAATGTTCTTGGCCTCTTTTGCCTTTTCCTCTTTTCTGTCTACTGATGTATTATATCAGCCTCCTAGTTTTGTGCTTTTGTTGTTGTATTTGTTTTTTTAAAAATAATCAGTGTAACTGTTCTGAAACATTTTTATCAAGATCATAATTCTCCTTATATGATCTTTACAGAGTGTTAAGATCCTTAGGGAGGGCTTTTCCTTGGGAATGACAAAGGGGAGAACCTTCTTGGGGGCTGCTCTCAGGCTGTGGAATTCCCTCTGTAGAATATAGACACATCGAAATAAATGCAATTGATATTTTATTTATATCTTCATACTGCTACTTGCATATCAATATATTTAGTGTATTTATGTACCTTCAGAATATTTGCCACAAAGTAGTTTATTTTACTTTTATAAAATAAAGTATTTTTCAGTTGTTTTTCAGCTGACAAGAGGCATAAAATAAATCTCAGTATCATACAGCCTGCCTTTCCTTGTATGTGAGCTCAGTCTAGAAAAACTGATAAAATAATGTTCAATATTGCCAACCATCTGCCCAGATTGGGAAAGCAGGGTGACTTTTCTGTGATCATTCCAGTCAGTTTTGCCTATTTGTCTACCAAGCTGTACAGCTATTTGGTCTTTTTAACAGTACATTTTCATTTATTTCTAGGCTCTTGATGGTTTCTTTCTAGCAATTATGACAGATGGAAGTATAATATATGTATCAGAAAGTGTAACCCCCTTACTTGAACATTTGCCTGTAAGTATGAGTTCCCTTTAAGAAAGTACAAGACTTTGAGTTAATATACATATCATTTACCATCTGCCACTTAAGATTCTACAGCTTAAAGAGTATTTAAGCTTAAAAAGTATTTATTCTTGTATTTTTCCACTGCAGTTCTTGTTCTCTTATTTTGTATTTCATGAGTTACGTAATGTTGCCTCAACATAACTTGAATTGCCAGTTTTAGACATTCTCTCCTCATGTAAATACAACCACCATAGTGTGCAGACGTGTGCACGTTGATGCTGCCATTAATGGCATGTAAAAATAACAACTTGCCTATGCATTATCTTCCTTCCATGGAGATGTGTGCATCCTATGCCTAGAAATATGTATTTATTCTCACTGGTCTTAAGTGGCATTTTATTTGTGAAATCCAGTCCATATTTGTAAACACTCAAGGTGCTGTTCATGGTCATGTTTTGATCCTCACAATAACTTTGGAGCAGGTTAGGCTAGCTTCATCTCTGAGTGGACATTTGAACCCAAGTTCCTAGTCCACTTTTACTATTGTTACTATGGTGATGGAGAGAACATGACAGAAAGATTTATGGATATCTTAGCCTATAATACTGTGTAACACATTTTTTGTTCCTGGGTTATAAATGTCATTTATGTCATTTGCAGTTTAATAGATCTTTTCAATAAAACATGGGGCAGATTTATTAAACTGCAAAACTTTCTAACTTGGGGGCCGCATGGCGGACTGGAGTGGGGTGGGTGGGCCGAAAAGGAGGGAGTTCTCCGCAAGTCCCCTCGCTGCCCTTTCCTCCCATTCCTCTTATCATTTGGAGGCAGAAAGTGAAGGAAAGATGGGGAATGTTTGGATCCAGAAAGGGTTGATCTTGGTCAGGATGAGATGGTGGACAGGAGAGAAAAAGTGTATCTATTAGACCCCATATTACCTACTCTTGATATAGAATTTTAGAATCCTATAGTTGGAAGAGACCTCCAAGGGCCATCCAGTCCAACCCTCTGTCATGCAGGAAAGCACAATGAAAGCACTCCCAATAGACATTCTCTGTGGAAAAGCCTCCAGAGAAGGAGCCTCCACCACACTCCGAGGCAGTCTATGCCACTCTCCAGGAAGTTCTTCCCAATCTTTTCAGTCGAATCTCTTTCCCTGCCACTTGAAACTACTGCTCCCTTGTGTCCTGGTCTCTAGAGCGGCTGAAAATCAGTCTTCATCCTCCTCAATGGGACACCCTTTTAAATCTTGTAATATGGCTCCCATGTTTCCTCTCTATCTTCTCTTCTCCCAGCTAAGCATCTCCCAGGTTGAGGAAAAATAAGGAAGGAATAGCAGGATGGAAGGAAGAAGGGTGGAAGGGAATTGAGGGAGGTAGGAAAGAGAGAAGGAAGGAAAGACAAAAGGGAAGGAAGGAAAAAGATAGTGAGAGGGAAGGAGGGAGCGAGGAAAGAAGGAAGGACCAAACGGCTGAAGGTAAGAAAGGAGGGGGGGGGGGGAGAAAAGGGAAGTTAAGGAAGGGAAGGAGGAAGGGAGGGAAGGAAGGATAGGATGGTGAGAGGGAGGAGGACCTGAGAAAAGAGCTCAAGGGGCTGCATCTGTTCCCTGGGCCTGGGTTTGCCCGGGTTCTCTTAAGCCAGTGATTCTCAACCTGTGGGTCCCCAGGTGTTTTGGTCCACAACTACCAGAAATTCCAGTCAGTTTACCAGCTGTTAGGATTTCTGGGAGTTGAACACCAAAACATCTAGAGACCCACAGATTGAGAACCACTGTCTTAAGCAATCCAGACCTGTGCTGGTAATTTAAATAGAAAGTGAATGGTTTTAAATAGAGATGTCATCACAGTAAAGTACTTCTAATAGCCAAAAGAAAAGAGCGACTCTGCTTTTTAGACAGAAGTGATGTTTGTTTACTGCATTTGAAATGGATCTGATAGTATTTTTTAATATTGTAAAATATTTTGGAGTGATGGAGTACTAACAATTACATATTATAAGCTATAATAATTTTAAAGTTTTCTCTTTTGACAGCTTTATCAGTTATTTTGCACTACAATGAAATTTCACAAGGTGGAATTTTAGTTTTCATGTATTTATTTTTTCTTTCTTATAGTCTGACCTTGTGGATCAGAGCATATTTAATTTTGTCCCAGAGGGGGAACATTCAGAGGTTTATAAAATACTGTCTACTCATCTGTTGGAAAGTGATTCATTGACTCCAGAATATTTGAAATGTAAGTTACATTGTTGAGTTATAGCTGAGAGATACATAGAATTCCTAAAGACTGTGCATTTAAAATTATGTGGGCTAGGAAAGTACTGACAACAGCTTATTCTAGTTGGATAAGTATTTCCCGAAATCATTTTAATACACCAGGTACATGAGTGGGTCCTGCAACAGGATGTTGCAATCCAGAATGCTTCTATTTAATTATTGGCCAGTGCTGAGATAGCCAATGATAGTCTAATTCCACATGTATCTCCCATCAGTAATTTAGCACAGTAATTTCAGTCCTCATTGAACCTCGCTGCCTTTTTGTCTGAGGTTCTTTAATGTTTCTTCAAAACTTGAAGTTTTTCCTATTCCTGCTGATATCCACCTTTCATTTGAGGATGGTGCCATTCCGGATACAAAAGGATTCAATTCAGTTCTAAACTTTGGAATTGGACAACATCTATTTAAAGCCTTTTTAAGAATGGCTTTTATCCACCATTTATTTGTTAAGAGATTGGCTTTATCCTGCTTTATTTTATGTTGCTTAAAGTCTTGTTACTCAAAGGGAGATGCTCAGATAACAGCCCTTAAAGTAAAGCTACACTCCTGTATATTCTTAACTTAAAGTTTCTGGGCTGTACTTATGAATTTGTAAACCCATTCCATGAAATCACTGGGATGAGTTCATTCCCTAGCATCTCCAGCTGAACATCATTATAGTAGCAGGTCTGAAAAAAATGAGATCTGGAAAGTCACTGCTTAATATGCAGTGTGTAACATGACACATTGCTTCTTATGTCATTGCAATATTTTATTCTTGTAATGTTTGGGTGTTTGTTTTGGCTTTCTGTTAAGCATGAATCTTTACTATTTTGTTGTTGCAGCAAAAAATCAGCTTGAGTTCTGTTGCCATATGCTCCGAGGGACAATAGACCCCAAAGAGCCACCTACATATGAATATGTCAAATGTATAGGAAACTTCAAATCCTTAAGTAACAGTAAGTTAATTCTAGCATATATTATACTTAATAAGTAATCCCGTGTCCACTCAGGTTTGAATTCCAATGCACATATGAAACATTAAATGAAGTATAAAATACAATTTTTCTTTTATTTTCTTTCTTTTTTTTTAGAAATCAGTGATACTGAAAAGGCTAAGTAAACGAATGAATGTAATACATGTTATTTATGAAACCAGAATCTTACATTTTAGTAGTTAACAGTCTAATTCAACTTGGATTTCATTTCTTTTATTGTGTTTAATTCCATCTTTTATTATGTGAGGTGGAGACAGCAATTAATTTTTTTCCAGCGTGCCAGGGACCAAAACCATATTACTTTGCATTGGCTGCAGCTAGTGCTTTCTTTCCTGGAAACTCTCCAGGGACTAGCAGGCAATAGTTTGGTCCCCTAACTACCATTTTGAATAGCACAGCTTTAGTGCCCTCCTTTGCATTGATCAGCACTGGTGACTGGAAGAGAATGCTTCCCCCTTAATTATATGCATTCAATGTGTTGTCAAAGGTTTTCATGGCTGGAATCACTGGTTTTCTCTGATTTTTCTGGGCTGTATGGCCATGTTCCAGAAGCATTCTGTCCTGATGTTTCACCTATATCTATGGCAGGCAGGCTCAGAGATTGAGGGATCTGTTGGAAACTAGGCAAGTGAGGTTTATATAACTGTGGAATGTCCAGGGTGGGAGAAAGAACTCTTGTCTGCTCTTTATTTATTGTCTTGATTTTAGAATTTTTCTAAAACTGGTAGTCAGATTTTGTTCATTTTCATTATCTCTCCTTTCTGTTGAAATTGTCCACATGCTTGTGGATTTCAATGGCTTCTCTGTGTAATTTGACATGGTAGTTGTTATAGTGGTCCAGCATTTCTGTGGTCTCAAATAATATGCTATGTCCAGGTTGGTTCATCAGGTGCTCTGCTATGGCTGACTTCTCTGGTTGAATTAGTCTGCAGTGCCTTTCATGTTCCTTGATTCGTGTTTGGGTGCTGTGTTTGGTGGTCCCTATGTAGACCTGTCCACAGCTGTATGGTATACGGTAGCATTTGTCCTTTGCTGAATGTAGCATTTGTTGGATTTTCTTAGTGGGTCTGTAGATCGTTTCTAGGTAGTATTTCTTCATCAGCTTCCCTATGCGGTCAGTGGTTCCCTTGATGTATGGTAAGAACACTTTTGCTTTGAGTGGATTTTTGACTTTACTCTCATGGTTTGTTATTGGTCTTGCAGCTCTTCTGATGTCGGTGGAGGAGTGTCCATTGGCCTGTAGAGCCCAGTTTAGGGGGTTTGGTTCACCTTGGAAGATGTGGGGTTCACAGATGCATTCATTTTATCTCTTCTTTCTTCCTCCTCCTTGTCCTTTTCTTCTGCCTCATTCTGAAGTTTCTTATGAGACAAGAAGGCACAATAGAAACCTGACTAAGTTGGCATAGCTGTTGACTTTTTTCTTCTTGGATTAAGGTGCCTGTTGTACAGCTTCAGTTCATGAGAAGAAAAAGCCACCTGCTATTCTGGTCCATGAAGTAATCACCAGGCCATTCCTCCAGGCTTGGTATTGTGTACTGTGTAGCTGGTGGGAATATTGACAAGTGGGCAGCAGGTGGAAATATTTGCTTTCTAAGGAGGCAAGTAAAGAAATCCCAGAAGCCCAACCCTAACTGGAAATGGGAATTTCAGACTACTGCAACAGGAAGCTTCTGATCTGACCTGTGGAGAGGACGCCAACCTTCAGCCTTACTGTGTCCAGTAGCATGTGAGGCTGGAGGCTCATGATCCATCATGTCTGATTTTGCATCCCAGGCCTTTGATTCAGTTTACCTTATATGAGTTCTGCACCTAAGGAAGAAGAACCAACTGAATAGCCTTCTGAGGCTAGGACTAACTCAAGTGAATATTTTACCTCTTCAAATTGTGCACTTGAAGAGCATTGCTAAAGTGTTCTACTTCTACATGATAGCTGTGATAATATATATATAATCACAACAAATGTTTCCGCCTGCTGCCCACTTGCCAACATTTCTACCAGCCTCACTGTTACCCGCTTCTCTGCTACTCATCTGTACACCTACTCAGTGCCTACCAATATAGTCTGTTTCAGTTTTAATATGAACTGTTTTTGAGGCTATACTCAGAATCGAGTAGCCAAGCCATTTTATTTAATAATTCAAAGTTTCATTGCTGTACACAGTTTCTGGTTGATCATTCATTCCACTTTTAAATCTATGCATTGTTTTACATTTCTTCCCAGTTAGTCTGATAACTTGGATTATTAATTATCTCAATTTGTCTGATAACTTGGATTATTAATTATCTCAATTTATACATAGGTTTAAATGATGGACTATGACTCTAGAGACCAGGGTTCAGATCCCAGTTTGGCCATGGAAACCCCCTAGGTGGCCTTGGGCAAGTCATATTCTCTCAGCCTCTGATGAAGCCAGAGTACAAATCGTGCCAAGAAAGCCCTAGAATAAGTTTGCCTTAGGCTCATTATAAGTCCGATGTGTCTTGGAGGTACACAATAATATGCAGCTATGATCATTTTGATCTTTCTTTCTTCTTAGTGCCTAACTCTGCACATAATGGTTATGACGAAACTATACAGCGGTCCCATAGACCTTCCTATGAAGACAGAGTTTGCTTTGTAGCCACAATTAGATTAGCTACACCTCAGTTTATTAAGGTATGTTTTAATTCTCAGCTACTCTAAATTTATTTTTCTTTTAGCTTAATATAAGTTGTTTGTGTTCACTGAATGATAATTTAAGTATCTAACTGTTCACCAGTACAGGGAGGCTAATCTCTTCTACAATATTGACTTTCTTCTATGATTTGCTCTTTGGATTGTTTGCTCTGTAGTTCAAAACACCAAAGTTGTCATTGTATGGAGCTATAGCTCTTTCAGATCCAAACATACAGCAGGTGATTGATTCTGTTAAAAATCGGTAACTATAACCATCTGTTACTTGGAAACCGCTCTGATTCCCCTCGGAGAGATAGAGAGGTATATAAATAAAGTTTTGTTGTTGTTATAGTAGGCATGGGCAAACTTCGGCCCTCTGGGTGTTTTGGACTTCAACTTTTGGGAGCTGAAATCCAAAAAAGCCCAGAACACTGAAGTTTACTCATGCCTGTGTTATAGGGATACTCAGTCCCTAGGAACAAAGATACTCAAATGGGGGACCCTCCTTTTTCAAAGCTGCTCAGCCTTCCTCCATACAATAATTTCAAAACACATTATGTGACCTTCCATGTTGCAAAGTTATTTTTGCTGAAGTTTTGAGCCAAACAGGTTTCCCCTTTTAATTACAATTCAGATTATGAACTGCTAGTGAAAACTGGGTAACCGGCTTCCACGTTATCCGTCATATACCTGGATAATGTGGAATGTGAAGAGGTGGCAAAGCATCCTTGAGTGGGCTCCATATATATGCTCATGGATTCGTCATCCTCATCCTGAAAAAAATAGGCATACCACATGCCTGTCGCTAGTGATGAGTTGCTTGCATTATTGTTCTTCCAAGCAGCAATGAAACTGCAAAATAAAAAAATGTATTTTTTATTTTGTGCTGCATTCATGATAATTCAATGTTTTGGAAGTGTCAGTTGTAGATGAGTTTTAAAATTAGAGTAGTGCAGTTCTGAGAGACTTACGATTTTTTATTTTTTTAGGAAATGAGCACTGTTGAAGAACCCAATGAAGAGTTCACCTCTAGACATAGCTTAGAATGGAAGTTCCTTTTCTTGGATCACAGGTGCCATTTCTTACCATGTAGTATTGAACGGTAGCATTATGTTACCGTTAGTGGCAACGTATTGGCATTGGCTATTTATAGCAAGAAATGTAATGTTATTTCTTTGCTGAATATATCTCTTTTGATTGCATGCATGTATATGATAAAGAGTGTGACTCACTTTTTCTGAGAAATAAAACAACTCTTATGTCATTATCTAGGGCGCCACCAATAATAGGTTATTTGCCATTTGAAGTGTTGGGGACTTCAGGCTATGATTATTATCATGTGGATGACCTAGAAAATCTGGCAAAATGTCATGAACACTGTAAGTAAACATTGTACTCATTTTCATATGAAACTTTGCTAATTTAGATCTTGTACAGAATATGGCAAACTTGAGTACACAAACTTTGCTAATTTAGATCTTGTACGGAATATGGCAAACTGTCCTCCTTCTGTAGGGATTTGAAGACTTGGGTTTTAAAGTTTTAAATTGTTGTTTTTGTATGCTTTTGCTTTTACTTTTTTGTATTGTACTATTAGTTTATTTTATGCATTGTTTTTAGGCACTTTGTGTCATATGTAAGCCGCTCTGAGTCCCGTTGTTGTTGTTGTTGTTGTTGTTGTTATATACTCCAGTACATTTGTACCAATAACAAAACCTATTCTTAGTTTATGGTCAAATGGAAGAAAATATATGCATGCAAGATCAACACTCCATTTTTATAAGGGATATTCTCGTTTCATGTTCTATTTCCTCAGTAACATGTGTATCTTGATTGTTAATTTCTGTGAACCGACAATTGTGCATGGCAGATTGTTTCAGTGGAATAATTTTTTATATTTATGACAGTAGATTAGTCTAAAAAGACTGTTGAAATAAGTGTATGCTATTTTAATCAATATTCCCAAATTGCTGTATTTTGAGGCAAAACTTTATTTTTTAATTCTTCAGTAATGCAATATGGGAAAGGAAAGTCCTGCTATTACAGATTCCTCACAAAGGGGCAACAGTGGATTTGGTTGCAGACACATTACTATATCACTTACCATCAGTGGAATTCTAGACCAGAGTTCATCGTATGTACACATACAGTTGTAAGGTAACAGAATTCTAATTTATTTTTTAAAAGCCAAAGATTTTATTACTTTTTTTAAATATATATATTTTTATTGAGAATATAAATTGCTCCTAAAGCGTAGGAGCTTAAAGAAAAAGACAAAGAAAACTGTTTTTGATGAGTTTATCAAGTATCGTATTTTCTGGCGTATTAGACGACTTTTTAACCCAGGAAAATCCTCCCTGAACTTGGGGGCGGTCTAGTACGGCAAGTATAAGACAATAACTTCCTGTTTTCGGTCAAGGCGAGGGAGGTGGGCAGCTGCCCTGCGCTGGAGCAGGGCGCCCAAAGCCGCAGCTGCTGCTACACTCCTCCAGCACCATTTCGCTCTTACTACCAGGCTTCAGCCTCACTGAGGGGCTTTTTCACTCCAGGCCCACCTCGGCTGTCAGTGCAGCGGAGGAGGAAGAAGAGGAGGCAATATACTCGTTGAAGAGCTGCGTCGCCGCCTCCTCCTCCCCCACTGCACTGACAGCCGCGGTGGGCCTGGAGTGAAAAAGCCCCTCGGTCAGGCTGAAGCTCAACAGCGGGAGCCAAGCAGTACCTGAGGGCTGCCCTCCGGCAGCGCTTGGCTCCCGCTACTGGGCTTCAGCCTGACTGAGGAGCTTTTTCACTCCAGGCCCACCGCGGCTCTCAGTGTGGAGGAGGAGGCGGCGGCGGCAATATACTGACCGGATGGCTGCGTTGCCTCCTCTTCCTCTGCTGCACTGATAGCTGAGGTAAGCCTGGAGTAGAGGTGCCTCTTGGTCAGGCTGAAGCTCAGCAGTAGGAGCCAAGCAGTGCTGGAGGCGCGCAGCAGCAGCTGCTGCTGCTTTGGGCGCCCTGCTCCAGGACAGGGCAGCTGCCTGCCTCCCTCGCCTGTTAAGAGTCTCATCTTGTTTTGGATCCAAAACAGGAAGTGATGTTTTGGATCCAAAACAGGAAGTGATATTTTGGACCCAAAACAGGAAGTAATGAGTACGGCGGTTGGCTGGCTGCAGCGGGGCCTGGCTGCCTCTATGGAGCTGAGAAGCCACCTCAAGGTCCAGGAAAGGAAACTTTGGGGCCTGAAGGGGCTGGCAACTGCCAAGAGGGGTAGTCTAATACAGCGAGTATATAAAAAAATTGAAAATTTAAATTGAAAATTTGGYGGGGGGGGGTCGTCTTATGCGCCCAGTGGTCTAGTTTGCCGGAAAATACGGTATTTTGGGAAATAACTCACAATCAAAGAACTACATTCGGTTCCTAATCCCAAATAGAATAGATCCATTGAACTATTAGGATATTTTATGTCAGTATGTGTGTTGAGAACCATTGCTTTAGTAGATCTACTCTTTTAGCGTATAGTCATTGAATTCCCCCCTAAGTCTTCTGAATTAGTCAGAAATAAAGTACATTAATGCATTAAAGTAGACCTCTGCGTTATTTCTATCTTTAGAGCTATACTGTACAAGTCCAATCTGTTTTGTGTATTTCCATGGACAGAAGCAACTCACTAGAAGCAATCAACTCCCTTGCTCAGAGCAGATATTTTTTAACAATATAAAGTGGGAAAAGAAAAAAAACCCACATTGTTAGTGTGATGTGGATACAAAGTGATATGTTACTGTTTGAGGAAGATAATTTGAGATGATAATATATTGACATTTGGTTTTACTTTTACACTTGTAGTTATGCAGAAGTTCGAGCAGAAAGACGGCGTGAACTTGGAATTGAAGAGGCTCTCCCAGAGATAGCTGCAGATAAAGTATGTTTTACAACGTAATCTTCTATTGGTTCTTTTCACTGCTCTTTCTTTTTAAAAAGCAACCTGATTTCCAAAACGTGCCACTTTAATGCAAAATATATGTGTCTATGTGTTTGAGACAGAAGTATTCTATCTGCCTTATATTGTATAGAAACTTGTTAATTCTCCCCACAACTTTCCAAAGAGTTGGGGAACCCACAAAGCTAATCAGCAGTTGAGTGTGTCTCATTGTCTTTCACACTTCCTTGTAGGTGCCCAGAGGATCTCTTAATAAATAAGTATAAAAATGAGATGCTGCAGTCTTTGGCAGTATTTGTTTTCACAGTGGTGCTGTCTGTCTTGTTCATTTGATTTTTAATGCCATCTCAGAGTGGGCAGGTAGCAGAAAGAATGGCATTTTGAGTGTGGTAGGCCTTGAAGGCTGAGACAACATTTTACATCAATCTTTAGATTTAAAAAGCCTTTCCCTGAAAAGTAAACATCATATATAAAAGAGCTTCCCTGGAGCCAATCCATAATATTTGCCATGAAATGCAGGTTAATCCGAAATACTGAAATAGGCATGAACGGGTATGACACCTGATGTCATTCTTTATGACCTTGTGGTAGCACTATTGCTGATATGACATATCTTACATTAGTTGTATAGTTCTTAATCATCTGTACTCATTGTCTGGGTATAGCAGAATGATACCCAAAGGATATTAGGTAGCTTCTCTTGTCTGGAGCCCCTTCCACACAGCTTAATAAAATCCCACATTATCTGCTTTGAATTGGAATATATGGCAGAGTGGAGTCAGATAACCCAGTTCAAATAGATATTGTGGGATTTTCTGCCTTGATATTCTGGGTTATATGGCTGTGTGAAGGGGCCCTGGTTCTTTCACTTGTCCAGTTCATAAAATGTAGTGTATTATGGGAAGTTGAGTCCAAATTGTTTTAACAACTTTGAATGGATTTAGATCACTGTTTCTTAAACTGTGGACTATGCATAAAACGTTTAAGCAATGCTCTTCAAAAAACAAAATCAGTTTGTTTAGCAAGACTTGCAGATGCTGATTTTTTTATCACTAATGTTTGATTTTTATACCTATTTTATATACCTATGTACTGAGGCCATGTAGACATCTCTTGGGTGGAAAGGGGTTGCAAGTGGAAAAAGTTTTAAGAAGCCCTGGTTACAATTCTATGTCTGATGGAGATTTGAAAGAAAAAAAAATAAAAGCATAGAAATAGGACCCATAGATACAACTAAGGCAAAAAAGATATTTTGACTTGTGTGAGATGACAGTTGGGGCTAGGATAAGTTAAAGAAGGTGAAGCATATGAACATGAAAAAGAAAACCAAGATAGTTGGAGAGAGCATTTCGGGTGTACATGTATATTACATGATACCTTTATTATTCTAGCTTCCAAAAATGTGCTAGCTTTTAACATCTGGGAGGAAGGTATCAGTAAAAATATGATTACATTTTAAATATTTAAATATTTTTAATATACACATGTGTGAGTATTTATAAAGTTACAACCATTGTTGCCAAGTTACATTTTTGTGATTAGCCATACATTTTTTAATTTATTCAGAGTCAGGACTCTGGTTCTGACAACCATATAAATACAGTTAGCCTCAAAGAAGCATTGGAGAGATTTGATCGCAGTCCGACACCTTCTGCCTCCTCCAGGAGTTCAAGGAAATCTTCTCACACTGCAGTCTCAGACCCCTCATGTAAGTGTTCAACATTAAAATCTGCCACATAGGAGGCTATTTGTTTTATTAGTTTTATGTTGTGTCTTTCTTTTTGTTTGTGGTGTTGAAATAGTGAAATCGTGCTTATAAAATAAATTATAATTAATGGTAATGAATAGTTAATACAATGGTATTACCTATTTTGTAATACTGACAAATTTACTTCTGCAAACTAGCCATGGAGGTATATGGGGCAGTAATTTGAATGTCGGACTAGGACTTGTCCATATTTACTTGAATCTAGTGCACCATTGAATCTGATGCGCACCTCAATTTTCAAAATCTTGAAACCAAAAAAAGTATTTGCTGGCAAATATAATGCGCAGTGGCAAAAAGTGGACTTTTTGTAGTTTGTTCGAAAAAAGTGTGTTTTACAGTTTCTGTGCGCTTAGAATTCCTTCTTTAAAAGTAAAAAGTGTTAGATCACCAAATCTTCCAGCAATGGAAAGTAACACCTGAGAATCAATTAACCTTTGATGGGAAGATGGGAAGGAAAGGAAGACAGAGGGACATTGGAAGGAGGGAAGATGGAAGGAAAATAAAAATGGAGGTTGAAAAGGAAGGAAGGAGAAGATGGAAGGAGGATAGGAAAAGAAAAAAGTAGGATGAGAAGGAAAGAAGGCAGTAAGAAAAAAAGGACGAAGGAGGGGTGGAAAGGATAGAAAAGAGATAGGAAGGAAAGAAAAAGGAAGCAGGAGAGATGGATGACAAGCAGAGAGAAGGGAGGAAGAAAGAAAAGGAAGAGAGAGGGAAGGGTGAAAGGGAGCAACGAGGAGGCAAAGGCAAGAGGCTGGTGCGCACTCCCGCTGCCTCTCCTTTGTGAAAGTAATGTGCACCCGTTTTAGCATGGTCATTTAGCCAAAAAAGTTGTGCCTTAGATTCATATAAATATGGGAGTTTTTAATCCCTATCCAATCCTGGAAAGCTACAAGGTGAAATTAGGCAAGTCACATCCTTTCAATATAAGCAGAAGTCAGTAGCAAGCCTCTTCTAAATAAATCTTGCCAAGCAAGCCCTATTACAGGAATGTCAAATGCCAGAGTCAATTTGAAGGCATATAACAATAACAAAAGTAATTGCTTGACCAGGTATAATTATAGGTAAAAGCACAGGATGGTGATGATAATGGTTAAAAGTGTTTCTTCTATTTTACATTTCAGCAACACCGACAAAGATCACAGTGGATACTAGCACTCCTCCACGGCAAAATATATCCAATCATGAGAAGTCTGCACAAAGAAGGGCATCACTTGGTAATCAGGTAATTCTTCAATGCACACACACATCTCATAAATTTTTCATGTGTTCAAAATAATAATAATAATCATCATCATCATCATCTTTATTTATATTCCACCTTATCTCCCCTGGGGGACTCAGGGCAGATTCCAACATGCAAAAAGGCAAACATTCAATGCCTCAATAATAATAAATACAAATATAAAAACCCAAGATAACCCCAAATAAAGAGCAACTTAAGCATAACAACTATAATTTAAATACAACACAATCAATTGAAAATGATAACTAACATAGAACTTAAACATAAAGCATCTGAATTAATATATCAAAACAACATGAAAGTTTACAGATGTGCGCATAGATTGTACAGCCAAAGTTGTTAAGTGGACTAATGTGATCTAGCAAGGTCCAAGTGTATTGATACTCTCCAATCAGCAGTTTGGTAGTAGTTTCACTTCATCTAATCCTCTTCCTCTCCATATGCTTGTGAGCAAAGATAGCTTTTCAGCTGTTTTTTGAAGGCGAGAAGGGAGGGGGCCAGCTTTATTTCTTCAGGGAGTCAGTTCCAGAGGATGGGAGTGACCACGGCGAAGGCCCTCTCTCTTGTTCCAGCCAGCCATAGTTGAGATGGTGGTGGGGCTGAGAGCAGGGCCTCCTCCGATGAATGCAGTGCCTGAGTTGTTTTGTAGGTGGAGATGTGGTTAGTCAAATAGCCTGGACTCGATCATTTAGGGCTTTAAAGGTAATAACCAGCACCGCGTATTTAGCTTGCAAGCAGACCGGTAGCCAGTGGAGCTGCCTTAGCATGGGAGTGGATCTCTCCTTGTACAGGGCTCCAGTTAGTAATCTGGTTGCTGATCTCTGAACCAGTTGAAGCTTCCGAACTGTCTTCAAAGGCAGCCCTATGTAGAGAGTGCTGCAGTAATCTAGGCAGGATGTGGCTAAGGCGTGGACTACCATGGCCAAGTCTGGCATCTCAAGGTATGGGCGCAGCTGGCACACAAGTTTTAGTTGTGTGAAGGTGCTTCTGGCAACCACTGACACCTGGGGTTCCTGGGACAGCAATGAGTCCAGGATCACCCCCAGACTGCAGACCTGTGTCTTCAATAGGAGTGTGACCCCATCCAGCACATGCTGCAATCCCACACCCTGATCCGCCTTCCGACTGACCAGGAGTGCCTCTGTCTTGTCTGAATGTAATTTCAGACATCCAGTACATCATTACTGACAGGCACTGGTTTAGGGGTAGAATGACATCCTTGGTATTTGCTGGAAAGGAGTAAAAGAGTTGGGTGTTGTCCGCATAAATTTGACACCGGACTCCAAATGCCGGATGATCTCTCCCAGTGAATTGAACCCTGAGGGATGCCACAGGCCACTGGCCAAAAAGTCAAACAAGTGTCCCCCAACACCACCATCTGGGTCCGACCCTCCAGGAAGGACTGGAGCCACTGAAAAACAGTGCCCCCAAGCTCCATCCTGGAAAGATGACCCAGAAGGATACCATGATCGATTGTATCGAAAGCCACTGAGAGGTCTAGGAGAACTAGTAGAGGCACACTCCCCCTGGCTAGCTCTCTTCGTAGATCATCCACCAAGGCGATCAATGCCATCTCTGTCCCATAGCCAGGCCTGAAACCAGAATGGGATGGATTTTGATATTCGGTTTCAACCAAGAACCTTTGGAGTTGTTCCCTTTTAAATAAAAAAGTAATTAGCCATGATGGCACTTGGACTTGCTATGTATTCTTATATATATATATCTCTTTTTAAATCCCAGTCTTTAAATTCACAACCGATTGGACAGCCATTAGCACAGCCAATGATGCCTCAGCCTGCAACTTTGCAGATCCAACAAGGAATGTCTCAGGTAAGAGTTTAGTCTGAATTGCATATTTAAAAAATGATTATATTTCCATGCAGGGAACCAGAAATGTATATTTATTTTATGTAGGATTTCCTTTAGAATTTGGATAGAATTGGAGTTAACCGAAACAGGTAGTTTAATTTATATTGTTATCTTTAGAATGTCCCTGTGTGTTGATTACCTGATTAGAATTCAGGGTGTGATAGAAGACATATATGTATAATACTTCATACATATAAGTTGTTTAGTATAATCTGGCATTACCATCTGCTTCCCGGAAAGCAAGAAGGAATGGATTAATGACCTTTGCCACCAAGACCAGATAGGAGTTGCATGACCATATTGCTTTAGCCTCCAGACCTAGTTCTTCTTTATGTATCAGCCCAAATCAAATCATCTTTATTTCCTCATACCCTTATTAATCTTCAGTTCCTGTCTTCCTTTACTGTCTTTCTTTTGCTGCTTCTTATCTTTTCATTTTTTGAAATTGTTACAAGTTCTACATTTAAAAAAAAAACTTTCCCTTTTCTGTTATTGCTTTACATCCCCATATTATTTCACACATGTTTTTAGCCCGTCCTGTGTATAAAATCACCCCTGTGGGTTGACACAGTATTTTCTGCTTTTAATTAAATTGCATTCTTGGACCAAACCTAAGAATTTATATATGAGTCAGTCCTGAAAAAACTCATCGGTCACTTTGGGCTTATCACAGAACAGAAAGAAAAAGAAATCCATTGCATATTGCAGTTAAAATCACCATCTTAGCACTGTTGATTATACTTTTCAGTGTGTTGCTATTAAAACATCTTAGTGCTGAATTTGTAATAATTTCCATATTGTACTGTCAAATCTAAAATTGTATGGTGTATCCCAGAGATAACACTATGAAACAAAAATTGAAAAAATGTCTGTTCCTGGTTTGAAAATGTTATTTCCTGTGTAATTGTGTTGTACTTACTTTGAAAGTAGTTGTTATACTCCAGAAACTTTGTTTTTGTGACTGCCACAAATTACGTTGAATTGATTGAGACTCTTTTATGAGACATTCATTGAAAAACCATAGGAAAATGTGCTATAAATGTGCAAAATGTTTTTGCAGTTGAATAAACCTTTTCCATGTTTTTATGATTGCCAACAGGAAAATGACATTTATGACCCAGGAACAAAAATCATATTACATAATGTAATATGTGGATGCATTTGCTTAAGCAAGGACTCCTATTTTGGAATTCTATCCTATATTTCTATCTCCATGGATTTGTACATCTGTGAAAGGAAGTCCCTCCTATTATTTGATTTGTCTCCTCTTGGTTCAGCAGTTCTAGTTTTCATTCTAAATTTCAATTTTTTTATTATTCAGTGTGTTATTAGCAGGATATTCGTATAGCAGATTATAACTTTTCTTACATCCTATTGGTTACAAAATCAAAACTTGTATTTTGCTTCAATGTTATTTTGCAGCCAATGCTTCAGTTTTCAGCTCAACTAGGAGCTATGCAACACTTAAAGGACCAACTGGAACAAAGAACACGGATGATAGAAGCAAACATTCATCGCCAACAGGAAGAGTTGCGAAAGATTCAGGAACAACTCCAAATGGTCCATGGGCAAGGGCTCCAGGTTAGTTAAAGCTTTGCAAATACTACTATGACTAATGATTCTTTACTCAGTGTATATGTGTATACATATGAGTGAAAGGGGAAATATGAGCAAATACAATAGAGTCTCACTTATCCAGCTTTCACTCATCCAACGTTCTGTATTATCCAAGGCAGTCTGCCTCCTGCCCGGATCCACAACTGTTTCAATACATTGCAATGTTTTGGTGCTAAATTCATAAATACAAAAATTACTAAATAACGTTACCATGTATTGAACTGCTTTTTCTGATAATTTGTTGTAAAACATGATGTTTTGGTGCTTAATTTGTAAAATCATAACGTAATTTGATGTTTAATAGGCTTTTCCTTAATCTCCCTTATCCAACATTTTCGCTTATCTGCTGGTCCGTTTATGTTGGATAAGTGAGGCTCTACTGTAAAGCATAAATGAAAACATATTATGCAATACCACGTAATTCAGTAATCTTTAATATTAAGTTTCACATTTTGCTGAAATACAGTCAGCCCTCCACATTCGCTGGGGTTAGGGACACAGGACCTCCATGAATGTGGAAAAAGCTGAGTAAAAAAGATATTTTTTTAACCTGAGAGAACACTTCTCTAGAATCTCTAGGCTCTCCAGCATGATGGTGCAGGAAACTTCTTGTGGAAATTGACTAGAGGGTCTAGAGATTCATCAAGACTAATCAAATGTCAAACCAGCAAATGTGGAGAGCAGATTATGTTTTATATCAGTAATTAGTGTTGTATCTGTAAAATTAATATTGCAAATTCTGTCATTAACAGGAGATACAGTATATTATTTAGAATTTCATGATGTTCCCCAGAATATCATAGGTGCCTATTATACTTGTCTCTTCAAGTGTAAGTCTCACTGAGTTCAGAGGAATTTATTTCCAAGTAAGTTTGACAGGGGTTGCAGCTTAAGATTCATGTGTCCGTTGATGTACTAGAGATTTTTCTGACAAACAATATTATTAGACAGTTTAATAACACGAGCACATCTTATTTCTAGTCATAAGAATTCAGAATTGTTGTTTTTTATAAATTATATTCTCAGTGTTTAATAATATTTTAAACATTGGTATGTGTTCTGTTTTCCTCTGAAAGATGTTCTTGCCACAGCCAACTCCTGGATTAAACTTTGGTTCTGTGCAGCTGGCCTCTGGAAACCCATCAAATATTCAACAGATAACACCAATAAACATGCAAGGTCAAGTTGTTCAAACTAATCAGATCCAAGGTGGCCTAAACACTGGGCATATTGGTAGCCAGCACATGATTCAACAACAGCCTCTTCAGAATACTGCTGCACAGGTAATTAAGCTGGTTGAGCTCTCTCTCTCTCTCTCTCTCTCTCTCTAAATAGGCCAATGGATACTAAAAATGTCTCCTGGGAGGCTGATATGGAGCCTCCCAGAGTTGCCCATTCTATGAAAATACTTCAAGAGTATATGACTCATGTGCCAAAGTTTAACTATTAGGAAATTTCTTTGGAAACTGGGTGGATTTTGCTTGGCATAGAAAATCAGCTTGGTGGTTAGGCAAATATGAGACCGTGTCTAGAAAAACCAAAATACTTATGATACGAAGTTCTTGAGAAATAAACAGGCCTCTGTTCTGGGGAAGAATTGACAGGGAGCCTTTAGGTATACCATAATCTGTAGTGATGCAGTGTTGTTGGCATGGTATATATATATTAATTGACGGGTCAACGCTTAGTGGAGTCTTTGGTGACATACAGTGCCATATAAGAGAAGTTCTTTGTTTCGGTAAGCTGTTAAAAACCCGTATCAGAAGGCGAATAATTTCCTCCTTTTTTTCTTCTTGTCTTTTACATTTTTTAAAGCTAGAGGTGATTGTTGCATCTATAGAAACTATAATTATTATTAAACAACAACTATTGCTAATTGCAATTTTTCAATTAAATTTTTGATTGGAACTGTTCTTGTGTTGCAGTTGCAAATAATAAATGCCAAACTTTGACAGAATAAAAAAAAATTAAGCTTTCTCATAGTTGGGCTAACATAAAGACTGACAATTCAGTTGTCAATACCTGTTCTTTGATTATACTGGTTGGAGGATTCTGGAAGTTATTACTTAATGGAGTGGTGGTGTGTCTACACATGTACAAATGTATTCATACTAAATCAACTTGTTGATCAAAATATTTTCTTTCTGCAGCATAGTCAACAAGCCATTCTCAGTGGGCACAGCCAACAGACTTCTCTTGCTACTCAATCTCAGAACACGCTATCAACCCCATTGTATAACACTATGGTGATTTCCCAGCCAGCTCCAGGCAACGTAGTCCAGATTCCTTCGACTTTACAACAGACTAATAACCAGAATACTGCTATTACCACATTTGGCCAGGATAGACAAATCAGGTGGGTGTTGAGAGACAAATGGGACCTGCAACACAAAGTGTGAGAGTAGAGCGCTCCTGTTCATTCTGCCAGTCTGCTCTGCCTTCTTCCTGAATATTGCATTCCCTTCTTGCCTGCAACTATTATCTTGTCTGTCCCTGTGATTTCTTCCTTCCTAATTATATTTTTTTCTATGTGTGCAGTTTTTACATTTCTTCCAAGTATGTAGATACAGCTAGCTTCCCACAAGTTTAGTATTCATAATTCAAGTTTGGCTATCATAATTCAGTCCCCAAGCCCCCACCCTAGCAGCCCTTAAGAAAGATCTAAAAACTTGGCTCTTCCGATGTGCCTTCGGAGAGTGACCATTTAATTAATCCATTTTGTTTGTTTCCATCTACAGTTGTCCTCATGATGCACTTTCCCCGCCCTCTGTGTTTGACTTTTATTATGTTATTTTGCACTGTTTATTTTATTTTGTTATTTTATGTATTTTGCTGTGATGTAATCTTTCTGTTGTGTTGTATTTTATTTTGCTGTATTATTTTTGGGCTTGGCCTCATGTTAGCCACCCAAGTCCCCTTTGGGGAGATGATGGCGGGGTATAAATAAAGATCATCATCATCATCATCATCATCATCACTCAGAAGGAAATCTCTTTCTTTTACACTTAAGTTTATGTTCTGAATGTCTTTCATTTGGAAACAAACTAGGAAAAGAAGGGAGAAGGGCCAGAATAATGGGATTATTAGATACAATTGCTAAGTGAACTCTTCCCAAGTAGATGGTACATCTGTATATCCTAGTTGCTGGGTGAAACTTGTAATAATTGGCTGTTGCCTTAAAAGTCTTGCTTGTGAATTTCTAAGAGGAGAAGCTATTTGAATTGCAAAGTTTTGCAATCCAAACAGCTTCTTCTCTTAAAAATTACAAACAAGACCTTTGAGGCATCTAATCTTGGAGATACTCTCTCCAAGGAAGCTTGGTTGACACGTACTGTTACAATTTTCTCATGCCAGGTAAAGATTTTACTTTTCCTGGCTTTTAAATTTCTGGCCATAGAAATATTGTGCTGCACATTGATTTGTAATGTTAACCTTGTTTCGTGTACCTGGGAGAGAGAACTGACGCACCTTTCTTTTCACAGATTTTCTCAAGGTCAGCAGCTTGTAACAAAATTGGTCACTGCCCCTGTAGCCTGTGGAGCAGTAATGGTACCAAGTACTATGTTTATGGGTCAGGTGGTGACTGCCTATCCCACTTTTGCTGCTCAGCAGCAGCAGCAACAACAACAGCCACAGACATTATCAATAACTCAGCAGCAGCAAAGCCAGCAGGAGCAGCAGCAGCAGCAGCAACAACAGCAACAACAGCAGCAGCAACAACAACAACAACAACAACAGCAGCAGCAGCAGCAGCAGCAACAACAACAACAACAACAACAACTTACTGTTCAGCAACCAGCTCAGACACAGTTGGGTCAGCATCCACAACAATTCTTGCAGGTAAAACCACATGTATGTCCCATTCAACGAGCTTATTACATGTACTGCTTAATTGAAGCAATATGTTACTTAAAAAAAACATACATAGGAAGATATTCCTTGTGACATACAAGTTTTGCTTTGTAATGGTCCAAACTGATATCAAAGTGACAGCACCAGATGTGTTGGAATAATATGAGGCCCGTAATGAAAAGCAAATAACTTTGATATCTTTGGATGCAAAAAATGCCTTTGACAATATGCCTTCATCTTTTTTATGTAGGCAATTTTGGAGATTCAATTCAAAATCAACATTCACAAATTAATGTATTGCCAAAGGCTTTCATGGCCAGAATCACTGGGTTGCAGGTGAAACGTCAGGAGAGAATGCTTCTGGGACATGGACATACTGTCTGGAAAACTCACAGCAAACCATTCACAAATTATTCAGACATATTTTGATCAATGGAAAATTGGCTAGACCATAAAAAGTACAAAAAGTACAGACTAATGAAAAAAATGAAATATAAATATGAATGTATAGGAATTGAATTTTTGACAAAATGTTTAAACTGCTGATAGCAATATCATAAAGTGAATGTTCTGCAAAGGTGATGTTCTTATTTCAATCTTTACCAGCCACACTAAATGTTCAGAAGAGGCATTTTTTACAATGAAACTGGCTGACTTATAAAGATTTGCTAACATTAGATAGTGATCAATATTGGTTAAAGATGAGAGAGGAGTAAATGATGGAGGGTTGTTCCCTTCAGTGGTTTGCCTGTAGACATTACTGAACAATTTCAGATGGATAAAAGGTAACAGCATTTGGAAAAAATAAATCAGAGTTTACCAAATTCTATAACTGAAATGAATTCTGAACACTTTGTTCAAAAACATTCATATGTGATTTCCCAGCTTTTGTGCATTATTTGTGGTGAGAGATGTTTCAAAAAGCTACCTCTGTTCCTTATTTTTTTGCCACATGAAGTTTCCTATATAGGTCAAGCACACGTGTTATACGTAAGACCTGCAGGCTAAATCCAGTCTTCCGTGTCGTTTTATGTGACCCGTGAGGCTTTCAATGCCAGGGCAACATAGATACATTTATACAGTCTTACAATTACAAATGACCCTTTGAAGACAACCCTAAGACTGATGTAGCCCTTCGTGAAAATGAGTTTTACAGCCTGCACAACATGGTAGTAGTAAGGGTCCAAAATGAAAATAGGCTAAACTTCTTTGGGCCATTCCTCCTTTCTCTCCCTCCACACTCAATCTTGATTAGCTGCAACTCCTCACATGACTACCAGTTCATCCCTTACCTTTCCATCTTTTCTCCCTTTTTGTTTCTCCTAACCTTTCCTCTCTTTTATCTTTCTCTACTTTGCCAGCACCTGTGGCTCCCATGCCCCTCATAGCCCCCAACCAACCCTAAGAGCCCCCTCAGCATGGCTCCAGCCTCCAGGGAGCACTTATGAACCGAACCAGCCCTTAGAACCCTTCTCATCCCACAACTCTGTCAAGAGCCCTTCCCACTTTCTCCACTCACCCCTGCCATTTTGGGAGTGCTCCAGCCAAGTAGCAGCGATGCGCCAAGTGGGGCCACTAAGCCAATGGCAGCACGGCGCAGGAGAACTCAAGATGAGAGACAAAAGAAAGAGAAAAGGGAGGGTGTCTGGCTTGGTGAAGGTGGCCAGCTCTTTGGACTTCCCATGGGTCATTTGATGTGCAGATCTTATCAGAAATATTAAAATTTAACTAGGTATTTTTAATTACAAAAATGTGAGTCAAGCACATAAAGGGTTAAGCCAATGCAATGACTTAGCAAAGCTGCAGTTCGATATAAGCAAGTGTGCCTGTTGCTTAGTAACTCCTCAGTCTGAGAGAGCTCTCAGTGTGAGAGAAGCCTCTCTGTGTGAGAGAATGTGTCAGTGGAGAAAAGGCCTCAGTGGTAGCAGGCCCCACTGTGGAAGAATAGGCCTTAATGTTATTAGGCCTCACTGTGTGAGATAGGCCTCGTTATGAGAAGGCCTCATGTGTGAAGCTCCAGTGTGAAGGTTGAACTTTATTTGTGTTATAGAAACCTTGTTTTTATAAATAGTGCAATCATATTATTTTGCTATAAAGAAAAGCCTCCTAAGGAAGATATCACATTGGTCTGTCTGTTTTTGTTCTTTTTATTACTTTGGGCTACTGGTGCTGGGTCACCCTAAGTTATTCTGCTGTGCGTTTATGAGGAGGGTCTTTTGTTAATAAGCCCACTCACCCAAATGATATTTTTGACCCTCAGCTGTTTGCTTTGTCTCCTCTTCTCGTTACGTATGCTTGTTCTTAATTTTGCGTTCTTTGGCAAGGCTTAAACAGGAGAGCGGAGAGGATCAGTCAATAGAAATAGCATAAAATTATGTGATTCCTATCTTTGAAGCTGGTGCAAGGGATATGAGCCACGAGACAATGGTTCTCTCCTCTGCACCTCCAAGAATGAACATCCATGGTGAGTAACAATACCTCATTCTTCCTTGTGTGTTCTTAGACATCCAGGTTGCTTCATGGGAATCAGTCGACTCAGCTTATTCTCTCTGCTGCTTTTCCTTTACAACAAAGCACTTTTACACAGTCACACCACCAGCAACATCAGTCACAGCAGCAACAGCAGCAGCAGCAGCAGATTTCAAGGCACAGAAGTGACAGCATGAGTGAGGCTTCCAAAGTCCAACCGTAGTAGGAAGAAGGTATCCTTCTGGGAGGAAACACAGGGTTCTCCCATTAGAAATTGCACTGGTGTGTGTGAGAGAGACGGCTACAGACTTTGCAGAATCCCAGTATTTATCCTAACAGCTCAGAAAGTGTCTGCTGAGGAATATAATGCAAAATACTGTTGGAGGTACAGTAGATATAAATGCAGAAAAATGCTGGAGACAAGGATGTGGCTACCTTTGCCCCAGCTTCTGTATTTCGCTTTCCTTCAAAAGTCATGTACTGCCATGTATTAATTTGTCCAGATCAAGTCACAAATATTTGGTGGACTAAACAGGGCACTTAAAATATTATGATGTTTTAAACACTTCTCAGATTAAGTGTTGCAATGGACGTGCTGTTGCTACAACAGCTTATTGGGTTTTTTTTTTTTAGTTTGCCTGCAATTATGCTCCAAAAAAAGTCAAGAGTTAATTTTTTCATATTATGGGACAGTAAATATTTTCAAAATATTGTGTGGAATCAATCTTTATTGTACAGATACTGTAAAATACTGTGTATATGTCTGGATAAAAAGCAAAGAGAGCAGAATATTTTATATGATGCATGAAACTGTTGGGTTTGAATATGTTTTCCCCTAATTTTCACACAATGCTCAGATTGCTGTTTTCATCTGTTATTCCTGTTTGTCTTCTACAACATGCGCCATCATTTATTCCCACCTATATTGTGGCACAATTCTCTTTGTGGTTTATGTGTGATGTCATGGTTTGTTCAATCAGGTTATATAGTGTGCTGGTTTGTGGAATTTTTGAAGTAAATTATTGATGAAACTCTTTGAACTGTGGAGGGTTCAAGGCATTAAGTTTCATAAATATCATATGTCATTTCATTTAGAAAAACTCTAATTTTTTTCTTTGGAAAAAAATAGGAATTTGCACTGCTCTATTGTAGATGGTTTGGAATTTTGCTTCCCCAAAGCTATCTTTTGATATGATATATAGTTGGAAATATTTATGTAAAAATGAGGTTTAAAAATATAAAAGTACTTTACAAGAATGTCTCAAATGTAGGAGTAATTTGCACAATAATATATTTGAATTTAATAATTGTAGGCACTTTTTAACCTTCTCTGTGGTGAGAGACCGAACTTCAGAATTTGTTGGAATCTTTTTATTCTCCTTTGAAAATTATGACCTTCATTTAATCGGAAAATGATTCAGGGTCATATGAAACAAAACAAAACAAAACCCCATAGTGCCTTGATTTTGATTCAGGTGATCACATCATAATGAATTTATGACTATTTTTGAAGTCTTAGTACATTGTTAACACAACATTCTATATAGATGTATCTCTACTGTATTTGTATGTGCATGTATTGTAATGCTCATTGAATTTTTTTTAGCAGTTTGACATTCTGCTTCTCAACCATTAAGTTTGCAGATACACATAATGTCATGACTTTTTATATATTCATCTAATAAGAAATTTGGTTCTTCTAAACAACGAAATGAGAAGCTAATAGTAATTAATATAACCACTTTGTAAAGCAGCTCACATTTTACATACATTTAATGGAAACTATAAATAAGAGATAATCAGTACTGCAGCCTCTGTGACACTGAGACTTCAGATAGCAAATTCATTTCATAAAGATAATAAAAAGATCCAACAGAAATTCTGTACATTCAAAAATAAACATTGAGTAGCTTTATGGTACTAGTTTTAAAAATCACATCTGCAAAGCAAAATGGGTTTTAATACCGAGCTAGATTAGAAATAAGAATATGATTATGAAGACAGAATGTCCAAGTCAAGAAAGACAGAATATTATAGAGGAGCTTTATTAACATAACCAAAGTGCAGTGAGATGTTAAGAATGTAGTGCTGGGTGAACAAAGCTGCAATGCAGGGAATGCCATGGTAGCAAATGATAGGAGCAGTTCTCTCTGAGTTTATTTTCTAGTGAGTTCCAAATTGAGTACATCCATACCTGTTGACTCAACAAGTCCCATTCTTGTTGGGGACTGACAGTTACTAAATGTTTGCATGTTTCCCCTCTCCCCTGGAAACGCGGACATAATCATCACCATCATAAAAAACGCAAGAGGATTTAAGAAGTGAAAAACCAAAGAGTTGGACTATTTTCCAAGGCCAGAAAATTGTGGGCATGAGTAGTATCTGGAACACCTTGTAGTTATAGCCTTGAAAGGGACTGTGGCATACCCTAAATTAGTCCAAAGTGTAGGAAGCACATATTGTGAGGACATAACTGCTTTAAATAGCTTTGTCCTACCATGCCATTCTGCTTGTTCCAAATTACATTGTGTGTAGATAGAACAAAGATTTGTGCTTTTGTGATGTTGTAGTGAAATGTAGGATTTGATTCACCACCATAACAGTATAGCACTCAGTAAACCATTGGGAGAGCTTTAATAGGATTTATAGGCAAGGATGGCAAAGCTTTAGTATTTATAAGAGGAAATGTAGAGTACAGCTGACATATATTGGTTACAATAACCTTTGTGGCTGTTTATTGAGGAGCTGTGATTTATTTGTAGTAAAAACTTTATGGGTCATTACTACAAAAGTGGAGAAGCAGTGACAAAGTGAAAAATAATGGGTAAGGTCTTAAAAAACATTTCTACTAAAGCTCAGGCAGTATGTGAAGGAGGCCAAACAAAAAGAAAAAAATGACACCCCTTTGATATTAAAATTATGTTGGCACTGATGTTCTTGGCAGGGTGTTTCTGATGACTGGTATATTTAAAGAGAAGCTACTGCTTCTATTGTGTTTAATTTCCGCTAAAACAAGATGTAAGATTAGACTCTGGTGCACTGTCAACATGATTGTAGTTTCTGTAAGACTGTTGTCTTATCCAGGTAGTGTTGGAGGAATGAATATATTCCTCCTTCCGGAATTTAGTAGAGTCAAATCTCTGTGCCTGATTTTGAGGAGGGGGGGGGGGGAGTGATTAGTTAGTGAATATTGTAGTAAAGCACTAGTGCTAAAAAAAAAATCCAACAAGGCCAACAGGATGTATGCTGAAGAAAAGAATTGTGGGTTAGGCATGCTTTAATTTTGGGAAGGGAAAATAAATCTCAGAGATGAGCCTTGGGAAATGTTAGAGGGAATTGTATAAATATTTTTATATTATATTTAATATATATACATATATACTATATTTGTACACATATTAAAAGAGTCTAGTCAGAGCTCTCCATATGCCTTCCATTTTTAAAAATTTAAAGTTTACTTGCTGGTGTTATGGCTCCAGCGTCACAGTTGTGTAGGCTGCCCACTTGCTGCCAACCAATAACAAAAATTACCCGACATTCATATAAGTGCAAAGCTGCTGGTCCTAATTCAGCTAAATGCTTAAGGACAGGACTGATCAGTATCTAGAATCACTGGAATTACTAATAGTTAGGGTAACCACATTTTGGGGCAGGACAGGAAACGGATTTAAAAGGCAGTAGAAAGAAGAATCTGCTCTGATCCTTGGCTTCATCAAGAGGCCAACCCCAAATGGTATGTTGTTGGCTGTGGAGATTGACAAGTCAAGCCTGTTTCTCAAAAGTGCCATGTTTTTGACCCTCCACAGTGGTCATCCATCATCCTTGAGCATAATATTGATTTGGGGTAGAGGAAAAGATGTGTGTAAATGTAAGCACTTTATGGTGATGGGAAGAGAATATTCATTTGGAGGTTTTTTTGTTGTTTTTAGACAAGGGAACTGTTCATATAGAGGGTCCAAAGGAATCAGAATGTAGACTTATTGTCAAAAAGAGGCATTGCTGGGAAATGTTTCTCAATATGGTGATCCCTTTGAGGCTAAATATGCAGGCATTCATTGTTGGTTGGCTTGGTATCTAATGAATTAATCTACACATCTGAGCATTTTAGATCTTTTTTGAGTTGCACAATTGTCAGAGATATCTTGAGGCTTGTGACAATTCTTAAAGATATGATTCTAAGTGGTCCTTAGGATTAAAATGTGTAGAGGGTTTACAGATGTGGCCTTGAGTAGACTGCTTCAGTCACTATGATAGTTCGTATGTTTAGAGAACGCTCATTTTGTTGTATGTGTGCACGCATGTGTTTTCTGTTATGGTGTCATGTGATTTAGCATGTCAGACTCATACATTGTCTCCCAGGGAAGTATGTTGCTAAAACATATGTGGTGGGGAGGACTGGAGGGAGTAGTTGTACTTTAAAAGGGAGGAAGAGAGGGTCCATTCTCCCTCCCCATCCCCAGTAAAAACAGTTGGAAATCTTTTTTTTAATAAACCAAGTTGTATACAGTTGTCTGAAGATGAATGTTTAACAGTAAATGAGAAAAGCGTTGAGAGATTTTAAACAAAGTAATTTGGATGCTTATGAAACTGGGTAGTTTGTCAATATACATATATATATTTTTAACACTACATTCCTTTGTCTTTTAATAAACAAGTACTTTACAGTCTGTGTTGCTATGCTTCATGCTTTCTCATCCGCATGGGTGTTAGCCAGCCAGCATGATATTGCTAAGATAATGTATCTACCAGTAACACAAAAAGCAAAATGAAACACTGTGTATGAACAAAATACTGTGTTGCCTGATACACAGATCCCAGCTCTAAGGAGAGGTGCTGCACTAGTAGACAATCAAAATCTATGGAAGACTTTGGGGGGGGGGGGGTTCTTAAAGATACAGCTGCTTTGAAACTGTTTTTTATTCTTAAAAGTATTTATTTTTTAAATTGTCTAATTGGATACTTTTCAGTGTTGATTTCACATCGTCTTGGTTTTGCATTTTTAAAATTTGGCATTAGATTTGTATATGTAGACAACCTGTGCAATTTTCACGATCTGACATCAGGAAACTGTAGATATGGTTCCCTAGTGTTCATGTGATCATTACCAAGTGTCAGTTTTTAATTGAATAAATATAACATTTGAAATTTCTGCTTCTTGTAGCTTTACAGTGATGATAATGTTTCTGGGTATCTTTGTGTCTTAACCTTTTCTCAGTCTGTCTGATGCTACAGTCCCTCAGCAAAAAGTAGCATGGGGAAGGATGGGGTTTGATTGCTCAGGGTGGGAGTTGCTTATGCAAGTGATACCAAGGTAAACATACTGAATCCACATAATGATCCTGGTGTATTATATTCACAGAATAAAACTGTTTCCCATTCATTGTGCCTACCACTTGCAAACTCAAGATCATAAGTACTTTAGAGTACTTTAGAGCTCTTCCTCACTACATAATTAGAGCACAATAATTCCTTGTCAACTGCCATGGTTGCATCCTATGGAATCCTGTAGTTTGGTGAGACACCAGACCTCTCTGTAGAAGTTTAAATTTTAGTAAAAAAAAAATCAACTCCCTAAACCTGGGTTTACTTACCTACAAGTCAATATGTGTACTCTGAGGTGAGAAGGAACCACTTTCTCTGAGTAGAGTGACAAAAGGAAAAATCTTACTCTATCCTGGGAGAACCTAAAAGAAGGTCCAACTCCCTCTACTCTCTGTGATGGTGCTGCTTCTGGCCTTGTTTGTTCCTGGATGGGAAAATGGTGGCTTGCTGCCTGAAGCAGTACTGGTGCTTTCCTCAGTCCACAGAATGACTCTCAGTTTCCCAAAGGGTCATGTTGAAATCCATCATTTTTGGCCCCATCTCAACTTACACAGGAATGTAGACATAGTAAGTGCTTAATCATAGAGACTAAGAGGTTAAGAATATTGGGACAGTATCGTAAGACAAGCAGCCTTCACACTTGCCGCCTTTGTGAAATCACCATTAAACCAGGACAAGAAACACTTGCACACTACTTCATGACCTCGGTCAGTGCAAAGTCAGAATCCCAGGACATGTCGTTAATGTACATTTAGTTCATGCAAGAGCACTTGTCACAGCTCTGGAATATTATACTGTGACTCCTTAAACTAAGGATGTTCCTCAGTAAGGACTAAACTCAGGGTAGAAAAACCAGTCTTTCAGGGGACTTTGTTTGCTTTTATTTGTCCTAGATTAACCCAGTCATCTAAAGCATTAGTCTGCAATGATGGTGAAAGCTAATGTCACCGGCTCCATAATCTTACACTCCAAATCAAAACTGGCCTTTTGTACTTTGTGAGAACAATTATGAGTCACACAAAATGTGTATTCATAGCTTCAAAGGTGTATTCAGTTGTCCTTCGACTGCTTGGCAAGCAGTCATTTCCCCCTTATCAGTGTTCAGAGCCAAGTGCTATTTCTTATTCAAAGGGAAACACTTCCTGCACAAGAAGCAAGGTGTCAGCAAGAAACTATTCAGGTGTGTAGGAGTATAAAGAAGCATTTAAGGAAAAAGAAATTGGGGGAGGGGCACCTAAAAACACAGTTGACAAGCCTGCTTAGTGGTCATGAAAACATGGGGGAGGAATGTAATTGAGTATTGTAAAGGAAGGTTTGGCTCACTGGCTGGAATGGCCAATAGACACACCACACACCAAACTGTTTTCTCAGTAATAAAAGAATAAGGTCAGCTTTACAAAGGATTTTATTTTTTCAAGTAATCTCTCCATCCTGATGAATTATACATACAGTAATATTCGCTCTTTGGCTATTTAATCCTTTTTTTTAAACTAGGAGTTGTACAATGTGTGCTTACACCCCTGTTTTGGAAAGGTGCTTTGTTTCCTACTGCTGCTATACTGTTCATATTGAATATGCATACACCAATTCTAGCATTTGAACTACTGCAATTACAGTACTCAGAAATGTTTGTTTTAGACTATTTAGAAAATGACAGGTCAACTGTCAAACTGAAGTCATGATAGAATTGACTTAAAACAGGTAGAATAGCAACCTTTCCCAAAAAGAAATCACAGAAAAATGAGTTCAGAAACACTGAAGGTTGTCAAAAGGTAATGTTTCATATAGTTCAACATCCTGATAATAAATTTACTACCCAATATTTTCCTCTGAATTAAGCTAAGTTATTACATCTGATGACACCTAGTTTCTTCATGTTCTTAAATATTATACTTTAGTACTAAAAGGAAAACTTAACTAGTACATTAACCTGGAAATGCAACCAATGTTTAGCATAAATACAAAAAGATTTTGTCTGGTAAATACCTAGATGGATTGTGTATTTGAATACATTTAAGTTCTGAATAGCACACTCCATACCAAAATAACCTGATTCACTGCAAAGACATTGGTTACAAATTTAGGTATTTATACATTTTTGTGTAGGAGAGCTTAGTCTGAAGAGCAGCTCTTCATCCCCCCCACTTTCAGTTTTGATCGTGGAATAATGTGCTTGGATTGCAAGATCAGAGGCAAAAGGTTCTCCTTGATATTTAATATTAGACACTTTATAAGGCATGACTGCTAGCCATGGGCAGCAGTAATTCATCCAAATGGGATCTTTAGGCAATGGCTAGTGGCAATCTGTAGGTAAAGTAGCAAAATCCCACTTCAGAACCTCAGTTCACCTGAGCAAACATTATTCACATCCCAAATATTTAGAGGAAACGGATCTGCAGCACGCACTGTGTCCATGAAGTGTTACTATAAAAATTACAGCATCTCAACTTCAGTGCTTCTTTGACTAAGTAGCTGTACATTATATACAGACAGAAAGGACAGAATTGTTGCTCCGAATTCTCAGTCTTTCCAGTAACAGGAAAAGCACCTCATTAAAAACCAGCATCTGGGCTTATAAATAGTGCAGAGAATGCAAATGCTAAGAAAACAATGCCTCCTATGATTGTCACTGCAAGAGAAAACAAAAGAAAACAGTTAAAACTGTAATTAAAGGACAAATATTACAATGCACAATAGGATATTACCTTAGAAAACCCCCATACCTCCAAAGTCATGCTCAACATGTAGTAATAATAATAATAATACTTTATTTATATTCTGCCCTATCTCCCTGATGGGGCTCACAGCAGATTCTAATCACAAAAGGCAAGCATTCAATGCCTGAATACAACAACCAATACACATATAATGGGGCTATGTGTTTGTAAAATGTTCACTGTTTTGTGTTTTGTTTACACTGTAAGTTGTTATTGTATGTAAATAAAATATTTATTTAAAAAATAATCGCAAAAAATAACCCAACCTATAAAAAACAAATTATAACTTAACTTCTGGAATTAAGATAAAACATATCCTAGTAAATAAATTATATCAACATAGAACAAAGCATCAAACAGAAGCATAAATGTAAAGAAGCTTGTGAGTTCTGCACAATCACAGCTACATACAATTTATTTTTCCCCACAGCCGTGAAGTCACAAAGGGCAGAATCAAATGTATCCTCACTGTTTAAGCACTGTGTATTTGTAAAAAAAAGTCAGTGTAGCTCATGCGTAGAAAGATCTGGCAGGCCGACATGAAGAAAATGGATGTTGTAGGCAACAGAGGCTTTTATAAAATGCTATTCTTCACTTCCCCTCCTGCAATTTATCATGCAAAGTGGATAATTTACAGTCAACATAAAAAAGATGAATTTGCAAGGAGGAGTTAGGTCATCAAGGTAGAACTGTTTAAAAATATAGGAAATATTGGAAGCTGACTGATAATAGCTTTATTTCAAAAATCCATCTAGTTTATTGTACTGTCTGCACTAGTGCTACTCAAAATTGCTGGTTCATGGACCAGTGCCAGTCAATTAGCCATCAACTGCCAGTTCTTGGAGAGTTTCCAGGAAAGAAATAATTATATTGTCAAAGGCTTTCATGGCCTGAATCACTGGGTTGTTGTAAGTTTCTTTGGGCTATATGGCCATGTTCTAGAGGCATTCTCTCCTGATGTTTCACCTGCATCTATGGCAAGCAACCTCTGAGGATACTTGCCATAGATGAAGACAAAACGTCAGGAGAGAATGCCTCTAAAACATGGCCATATAGCTCGAAAAAACCTACAACACAGAAATAATTATAGTCAATTGTAACAAATACAATATGATTTCCTACATCAGGCCACTTAAAAGCACTGTTTAGGACAGAGTTGTTCAACCAAAGTTTCCTGGAACCCAAGGATTATGTGAAAGATCATGATTAGAAAAAAAAACTTTTAAAGCTGTAGATCAGGGGTCCTCAAACTAAGGCCCATGGGCCAGATACGGCCCTCCAAGGTCATTTACCCGGCCCTCGCTCAGGGTCAACCTAAGTCTGAAACTACTTGAAAGCACACTACTACAACAACAATTCTATCTCATCAGCAGGCTCACACTTCCCATTTAAATACTAATAAGTTTATATTTGTTAAAATTGTTCTTCATTTGAATTATTGTATTGTTTTTAAGTGTTTTTGCACTACAAATAAGATATGTGCAGCGTGCATAGAAATTCATTTTTTTTTCCAAATTATAATCAGGCCCTCCAACAGTTTGAGGGACTGTGACCTGGCCCTCTGTTTAAAAGGTTTGAGGACTCCTGCTGTAGATATAATTTCTATGGAAGGTCCCTGAGACCCGAACAAACTTACAAGGATTCCTCTAGGGTAAAAATTGATAGAAAAGCTAATTTGGGGCCTAACAAGAGACAACAGTCTTCCCCAGGACTACTTAGGAGATTTTAATGACTGAACCAGCAACATTTTAGAATCATAGAGTTGGAAGAGACCACATGGGCCATCTAGTCCAACTCCCTGCCATGCAGATAAAGCACAATCAAAGTACCCCTGACAGATGGCCGGTCAGCCTTTGTTTAAAAGCTTCCACCACACTCCAAGGCATAGTTCCACTGGTGAACACCTCTTACAGTCAGGAAATGCTTCCTAATGTTCAGGTGGAATTCATGAATAGAGATGCAGTATTTCTAGAGGTGTTCAATCCATGGAAAAAAATGAATACTGAGGAAAATTTAAAATATATGCAATACTTATTTCATACCAAACATACATCTTTTTCAAGATTTCCTTGACATAAAATGCTGCATCCATTTGGCATGCAGTGGAACC